ACTGATGCTTATTTTAGAAATAAATAATTTGTCATCTTTATCAATTTTGATTTAAGAGTGGTTTTGTGTACATTTACATCATAGACGCACAGTTTTCAGTACAAAAAAACGATATATTTCATAGTCCATTTCTTTCAAAATCCAATTCAAAACATTACAAGCAAGCAGGGATGCCTTCCAAGATTGATAGCGCATGAACCTTCACCCCCCTCCCAAATATTTTTTTCCTCTCCTCTTCTTAAAAACAGTGCAAGCAAAAGTAGAATTTAAAAAATGTATATTATATACTATTACAAATCCTGCAGACTGTTACGTGCTTCCACTTGTCTTTTGGTTTGAAACTTTTTATTACAAATGTTCATAATTCCCACAAAATGTGCCCCTCTTAAAAATTTTGATGGCACAACTTGCGTAATGAAATTCCCTTCTGGGTGCCGCTATGAGCAAGATAAAAAATGGTTAATTCCTCTGAAATTTGTTTGAAATACATAGAATAAGTAACCCAACAAAAACTGTCTCCGATTTGCTGGTTTTAGTATGAAATTTATCTATTCATTTAATTTTTTTTTAAATTATGAAAATGATATTTATGTCATTTCTTAATAAGAGAGTCAAAATTGGGATCTTCAATTTTGGACAGAATGAGGAAATGATAAATTGAATTCACTTTCAAAATTTTTTTTTTCCTTTTTTAACTTAAATTGAATTGATCAATTAAGATTAACAACTTATTGTCTTTTTGATTTTGATTTTTAACACTGAATACTGAGCTTTGGGGCTCCACCAAACCATCGAATTCCTATCGTATCCAATCCTTACAATCCAAAATCCTCCGTAAAATCCTTAATGCTCCATACTTTGTCACAAATAAAATCATTCATAAAGACCTTAATGTACCATATGTCGGTGATTTAGCTCGAGCCAGATATCTATCCTTTCATGATAAACTTCAGTCCCATCCAAATCCGCTTGTTTCCTCTCTTGCTTCTTTCTCGATTTCTGATAATCCTCCTAGGCGTCTGAAAAGGAGATGGCCTCGTGATCTTCTTACTTAAAATTATTTAGAGAGTGCTACCACTGGGTAGTAACTCTTCAAGCCTGTACATGCCATTATTTATATTTGCGCATATTTACTAGATATATTTGTATACAGTTGTAAATTCCATTAAATAAACAAAAAAAAAAAAAATCACTGAATACATAAATGGAAAGAGGTAATGATAATTAGACATTGATTGTCTTATGTGAGAATTACCCATATATTCATCAGTGGATACGGTGAAGATCATAGTACCATGAAATAATGCAGAGAATAATTGTTTAGTGAATCTACATGAGAATGTATCTGTTGTGTTATCAATAAAATTATCAGACTTATCATTCAGCTTTTGGTTAGCAAAAATTTTAATGTTGATTGGTATACCATGTGTAACACCACTGCTAATACTAATAATCATTGAAAATTTTTCAGGATATGCAAAAAACATATTTTCTATTCCAATTGTAATATCAAAACGAATTCTTTTTAAAAAAAATAATTTAAAATTCTTTATTCATAACAAATATAAACATTTATTAATTCGCAGCAGTTAAATAGGGAAAAGTAAGTTACTTTTCAAAAAAGCCATGTTTAATTAGTTAAGAGTGCTAATAGGACTCAATATTGTGAAACTTAACTGTAAAATATGTTCCTAACAAACTGTAAAATTCATTTATGAAACTTTATATAATTATAAATACTAATTAGCTCTAATATAATGTATGATACAGGCTACATTATCGCAATGGTCTTTCTTAATGGATCTCAAAGGAGGATGCTGAGTAATAACAGGAGAAGGATTTGATTCTTGACTCAAATGAGCGAACTATTCTTTGTACAATAATGAACAGAGGAGTTTTTTGCAAGGCAGAAGAGTGAAGTCTCCTCCTGTATTTTATAAAAAAATAATTGTAATAAAGGCACTTTTAAGTATTGATTTTCTTTATTTAATAGTTACATTGGGATGAATCAGATAATTTTTACTTTCACTTACCAATATATGAGTCGTTTATATTCAAAGTAAAAATCTAATAATCATTGACAATTTTTCAGGATAAAAAAAAAATCTTCTATTCCAATTGTAATATAAAAACCAATTATTTAAAATAAATTAATTGAAAATTCTTTATTTGAGCTGTTTATTTTGAAAGTGGCCTAACTCCATTTTTCAATTTTTTGCCGGTTATCATGGTTACATATACAACTTAATACTATATATCAGTAAAACATTTCAGGTTGCTTATATTCCGAGCAAATACGATACATTTTCAGAATTAGTTCAATAACTGAACCGTGTAGTTTGAACGTGGCCTAACTCCATTTTTCAATTTTTTGCCGGTTATCATGGTTACATATACAACTTAATACTATATATCAGTAAAACATTTCAGGTTGCTTATATTCCGAGCAAATACGATACATTTTCAGAATTAGTTCAATAACTGAACCGTGTAGTTTTAACGTGATATTCCGAGCAAATACGATAAATTTTCAGAATTAGTTCAATAACTGAACCGTGTAGTTTGAAAGTGGCCTAACTCCATTTATTTTATACTTACATATTTTATTTTTTAATATCAGGACACTCGTTTTTACCAAATGATAGAGATTTTGGTGTGGCAGAAATGTCATTAAGAAAGAATAATTTACTGTTTGTTCCCCAAGATTATTAAAAAGTGTCGGAAAGGTAATAATTTTATTGTAAATGAAATGAGACAAAAAGATTTTGTATGAACAAAATTATTAGAAGACGCAATTTTTAAAAGGGTAAAGAATTCTGATGGAGAATCAGTAAACTGGTTACAAATAATTTGGATGCGTTTTATCAGAAATGAACCGTATAAAATTGTCTATAAGACAACAACGAATGAGAATGAAAATTTTAAATTCCTGAATTTATTACAATGTTGGGATAGACCAAGAAAATTCGAAAATATTGTATTGACACCACTCTATAAAAATATCAGGCAAATTACAACAAAATTTAAGGACATGATTGACCTATTACGATATATACCAACGGAACATCATGACTACTTCAAATCCCTTTCACACTAAAATGTTTGTAGTTTTGCATGTTCTGTAATTAAAAAATATTTAAGGATATGTAAAATAAATTGAGTATTGTGTTTTTCAATTTGAAGCATCTTGAATTATGTTGAATGGACTTGGGTACCTTCAAATTTTATAATGAATGTGGTTGTTAATTTTGAAAGTGGCCTAACTCCATTCTTGATAAGAAAACTCACATTATTCACTTAATAATTGTTACTATTTAATAGGAACCATAAATTTAATACCCTTAGATACACTTAAGCAGTATGACTCATCCTAGTATCCTACACGTATATTTTTAAATTCATTGAAACGCAAACCCTTACATATCTCGATTCGAAGATAAATGGAGGTAGGCCACTTTCAAAATAAACGGCTCATTTATAGCAAACATTTCTGAAAATCACTGATTATTTTAACAGTAATTAAAAAAAAAAACAGAAACTTGAAACGAACCCTTTTGGAAAGAATTAAAACTTTGGGGGGGGGGGGGAGAATTTATAAAAAACTGTGCTATAAAAAAATAACTTTTGTTGACAATAAAATTAATTATTTTTTAATTTTCATTCAAATAAAACAGTTAAAAAATTTTTTTGATAAATTATTTTTTTAAGAATTCTAAAAAAATACAAGTTTAATTACATCTCTTGAAAAAAAAGAGGCCAATTTCAGAAATAAACTTATTTTAACACCACTTTTTAAAGTATTTAGGTCCTTTTAAAAAAAAAATAATTGCACCATCGGGTTCATTGGATGTTTTTTCATGGGGAACCATAAGTATCTCAATTTCCGAAAAAATCTATAAGGGTTCACTTTGGAAATAAACAACTAATTTTAAATATATGGCTTACGGGGATCTCTTAGGAAAGTATTGCAATCATGAACAATTTTGAATTTGAGTTTTCAACATAAATGCATGTTTTGAAGAAATCGAACGTTGTAAAATTAACTTATTAAAACTTAATAAGTTTTTATTTAATGAAAAAGATTTTATAAACTCAACATCATTTGTTTGATAATTATAAATAAAAAAACGCTGCAAATTATTCCACAATGGTTTATTATTTCCATACAATTATCCATCTAAAGTAACGTTACCTTCATAGTTACAAAGAAAAATAAATAAAAGGTGATTCCAATTATTGGACTAAACTTTTTTTTTTAATCATTGGTAATATGCTAAAAAAAATAGCATTACTTCAGTAACACATTCAAAATTTAAAAACCAAACAAAGCATATAACATTTGGAGTAGAAATTATTTTAAAAACTGGAGACCATATCTTTGCTCCTAATTGTCAGATTTCAACAATTTTTTTTTGGTTTTTAGGAAATTTAGTGAACTTTTAAAAACCATACACACTATCGACAAAAAAGTGTAAACTTTTTGAGTCATTCGGAATTTAATTTTACCATACCTCATAACTTTTTTCCAGCTTCTTTTTGTTGAAGTATGTTATATAGATAAATTTAAAGGACGTAGAGAAAATTACCTTAGCGAAGTTTCATTGAAATCGGTACAGTCTATAGCAACGCAGGTTTTTTGGCTGCCATTTTGGAAGTGAAAGGCGGATAATGTCGATGAAGGAGGATCATCCTTGGGTGACCTCTGATTTTATATCCAAATTAGAAAAAAATTGGTCCAGTAGTTTCGGAGAAAATTCGTTTTTCGAATTCTACATATCCTGAAATATGAAACCTCAAATTTTGAGAGGGGGTTAAGTTTTTAAATTTTTTGGTCGATCACAATGGTTGATTATTGAAAATAATAAACCAAAATATTAACTTTAGTTCAATGAACAGTATTTTTTACCTGTTTCCACCTGATATTGTGATTTTATAAGTACATTACATTGTTTACCTGAAATACTTAGCACTAAAGAAGATGGAGAAAAAAAATTATATAAAAAGGAATGTATATATTTTTTTTATAAACAAAACAGACTTTATAAAACATATAATAACAATAGATTAATATAATAAAAAAATAAAATCATGCAAATAAAATGGTCATAACTTTTTGTAATATTTAATAACATGAATTTCCCAGCTATATATTGAAAAAGTGTAATTTAATAATGAATATATACACTTATGTACATATGGTTTTATATATAAAAGAAAATTGATATTATAGACTGTGCTGTAATTACAGCCATAGTGTATTTAAGTTTAATTATTATACATGATAACAACATTGAAACATTTCGAGAATGAAATGCAATACAAGATGTTAATGATCTTAATGGCAATAAAAGGTTTGAATACAAGAATATTCACATCCTGATCTGAAACTTTCCAGCTTTGGTGATGTATTTGACCCCCTTGAACGGTTTGTACTTCTCCCCGTACATGTCTAGCCTATTCACTTTCAGTCCAGACACGGCCATCTGGTTTATAGTAAACTTTACCTAAAATAAATAATTACAGATGGTTTTGTGATATATGATTCTTATATGCTACCAGATTAAAATATAATTTCTTACATTTATTGTAGGTTTCGATTCCATAGCGGATCCACTTTGACAAGTCACCTAGACAGCGAATAGAATAAAATTATTATGATTTGTAAACCAAAAATGTAGATCACAGCCACAATTTATTGAAGGTAATTGAGGCCTCAGTAGAAAAAGGTGCATAATGAAAATAAATTATTTTGAAGTGTGAGCATCTGAAGTTTTTACTTGGGTGTTAAATAAAATATTAAGCTTCATGATTTTAAAAAACAATTAATTCTTTATATTTTGATTCCTTTTATTATTCAGAAAAACAATAGCTTATTTTAATGCTAAATGGTTGTGGAAGGAAAGTTAATAAGAACAGTTATTGACAGCAATTTATCTAAGACATGAACTTGAAACAACAATCACACTCACCATCCCTTGTAAGTTGGGAAGCTTTGAGACATCTATCCTTCCGACATCCCAGGATAGCAGTCGGCTTACGGGGTCAAAGGAATATTTTCCTTGATTGCACGATAAGCTACAATTGGAAACACACTTCGGCATAGGAATTTCGACTACGACATTTTCAACCTATAAACCAACAATTTCAATTTTAAACTAGAATTAAGCTAAAGTTTATTTTAGAAACAGTAAGTTTTAAAAAAAAGGAATTCAGTTACTTTTTTACTATCTGCGCAGATGTTTTGACACAAGATTTTGGATCAATATAAGGGTTAAAGTAAAATCAGAAATATAACAGATATGTGTCCAAAGACAAAAGTAAACAAAAAAAGAAAAATTAAATTATAAAAATAAGTTAAGGATAAAATAAGAGATAAGGATATAAATAATAATAGAGATACAACTGATGATACAATAATTTAGAAGTTATAAAAAGTAAAATGGAATATGTTAAAAAAAATAGTGTAAAATTTGAATTAATAACAAAAAATAATATGATTAAGTATGTTGAGAACAGATGGAATAAATACCATAAATAAAAAAATAAGTAACTAATATAAATAATAGATGAACAAGTGACAAGGTGAATAAAATTCTTCATCTATAATAATACTTAGTGAACCCGAAGGTTTGATGGCGACACCACGAATCGCTTATTATTTGTTCGCCGTCCAAACCCAGTCCCTTCAGATCGGCTTTAACACAATCTTTCCAACTTTGCTTCGATCTAGCCCTCGGACGGTACAGAAAATATTAACCTTTTAGGAATTCTTTCATAACTAAGCCCAACAATTTTACAAACCCATTTGATTTACCGCAATGTTATCACCTTAATTATATTAATCGGATACAGTTCAAGCAATTCTGTGTCGTGTAACCATCTGAACTCTCCGGTTAACTCATTCTTCTTCGGTCCGAATATTCTACGCAATACTTTATTTTCAAAAACATTAAGACGTAGATCATCCCATAATGTAAGCAGCCACATTTCCCATTCATAAAGAACTGGAGGTAAGTAAGATAATGGTTTAATAGATTATAGTTTTTAAGTTCTGGGATAAGAGTCGTGTGTTACGTAGTTTTGTCACAGAAAAATAACAAGCATTTCCCGCTTTCAGCATAACCTTAATCTCCTCCTCTTCAATTTCGTTTTTCTTAGTTATCGTAGACCCTAGATACCTAAACTTCTCTATGTGTTCAAACATATTATCTTCTATATCAATATCACCAGAAATATAACCATATATTTATCACCAGAAATATAACCATATATTTTGTCTTATCCGTATTTATTTCAAGCTCTAGTTCTTTACCGAATTTCTTTAAAGTTATCGTACTTAGTTTGATAGTTTCCAGGTCATTGCTTAACAGGACCAGATAATCTCCATAGCCAAGAACAGGTGTATAGCCAGATCCAACCCTTTTTCGGTAAGCATTACCTCTCTAATGGCATGTTCTAATGCCAAATTGAACAGGACAGGCGAAAGTGAATCACCTTGTTTTAAACCCGAACTTACATCAAACTTTTCAGATAATTATTACCGTTTCTAACTTTATTGTTTTCATCAAGCACATTCTGACTAGATTTATCAATTTTTTGGGGATCCTCTGCTTGATTAGAATATTATACAGTTTCTGGCAGTCAATAGAATCGTAAGCCTTTTTGAAATTCACAGCTGATTAACAACATCGTTGCACTCTAATTTTTCATCCAATATTTGTCATAAAGAAAATATTTGATCAATAGTCTCCGAAAATTTCCTCAGTGTATTCCGTGAATCGACTAGTTAAGATTAAAGTGAATAATTTATAACATACAGGAAGGAGTAAAATTCTTCCGTGTAATCGGGCCCTTTTTATGAATCAGAATAAGAATAGATTCTATCCATTCTTCATGTAATTTCTCATTCTCTCAGATCTTTTTAACCAACAAGTGTATTTTAGAAACACCAGCTTCCCCGCATGCCTTAATGAGTTCACTAGGAATATTATCAGTTCCCGCTGCTTTATAAGATTTTAATTTTCTAATAGCTACTTCAACTTCCTCTTTACTTGGTTCTTCTATTAATGGTTCATCACTGTGGTACTCAGAAGGAGGACACAGATCATTATTTCCTGTATTTAAAATATTGTCACAGTGGTTCTTAAACTTATTTAATATGTCAATCGGACCAACCAGAAAATTGTTATTTTCATTCCTAATTCCAGACGTGATGGGCCATAAACATTTACATGATCTGTTTATACCTTTGTACGTATCTCTTACGTTATTTTCAATTCTATTAGTTTCTATTTCTATTATTTTATTTTTAAGATACTCCCTTTTTTTATTTTTGAGCAATTTTGTCATTTCATTCTTTGAGGCTCAGAAGTATTCAAAATTGTCTTCACTAGGATTATTTAGAGCTTTTAATTTAGCAGCTTTTCTTTTATCACATATGTTTAAACAATCTTCATTGAACCTCGGTTTGTTCTTTTTATTTTCCTTTTTCCCACAGATAGGAGTTACAAACTGCTTTAATATTATCCCTGATCCCTACCCATAACTTGTCTACATCATCTCGGTCCTCATCAGAAGGTTCTAAATCTCCGAACCTATTCTTAACACCTAGCTCGAATTGAGTTTTAATTGATAGATTTTTAATTTTTACAAATTAAAATTCTTGATATCGAAACGGTTTTCTTTTCTCTTTTTTCTATTAAGTTTTTGTTGGAGTTTCGCTATTACTAATTCGTTATCTGACCCACATTCTGCCCCATGATAAGACCGTATATTAATTATCTGCTTTGCCAGCTATGTTGTATCAAGACATAATACATTTGATCTCATGTTTGTAAATCCGGTGAATGTCTAGGTGTATTTATGAATATCACTTATGTTTAAACATAGTACTTTTAATTATCATGTTTTTCAAGATGGCAAAATTTATCAGACGGATCCCATTATCATTATTATATTCGTGCAAACTTTCTTTATCGATTGTCGGAAAATAAACTTCTTCCCTCCCCACCTTTGCGTTTGCATCACCTACAATTATTTTCATGGAGTTTTGTGGTAGTTTATTATAAATCCATTTAAGTTTATCATAAAATTCCTATTTCACTTCATCGTCACTGTTTTTGGTCGAACAATATATGTTTATTAATGCGATTTTAAACCAATGTTCCTGAAATATGGCTACCGAAATTCTATCACTAAAGAATTGTGTGTCCTTTAAAGTGAATAGCAATTTATTCCTAATTAGAAACCCGGAACCTAAACAATGATTCCTGCTTCCTCCGTACCAAATAGTGTACTTTCCTTCTCTGGCTAGCAAACCTCTTGTAGAGTCACGACATCCAAATTGTACCCATTAACCTCATTTGTGATCGATTTTATCTCTCCCTGCTGTGTTTAAACTCCTTATGTTCCACCTACCAATATTCAAATCTCTACCTGGATACCCAAACAGTGGACTAGTTTACCTCCCAATAATGAGTGTATATCTTGGAGAGATCCATGACTGTTTGTGGTGTATAGTGAACTAAAGATATGTGAGTAGGGCATTTAATCTTATGTCACACCCTCTAGCAAGTCTGGAGGGCTCCTCTCATTGTTGGTCAGCAAGTCCATCGGACTTAGCTGGCAGGAACTTCCAAGGAACCGACCATCTCCACATAAGCCACCCGTGGAACGCTCTCCATACAGCACACAAGAGAATTTTTTTTTTCATCTATTATCTATATTTGTAATTAAAATATTCTTAGTACCATGTCGTATTTTAATTATATGAACTAAAATTATAAAATTATAAAAACTATTTTTAAAAAAATTATGTGATGATTTAACTTACAGTACGGCCAATTGTCTGTTTTGGTCCAACAGTGAGGTCCAGCACACCTTCTTTGAAACTTAGGTGGTGCCGGATATAAATCGGAATCGCTACCACTCTTTGAGAACCAATGTGGTAAGACATCAATCGCATGTTACCATCAGGAGGTATGAAGGACAATATCCTTTCTGTCTGTAGCAGAAACAAAATTGAAATGAAGTAAATTATAAAAAATGAAATACAGTTAATTATCCATCATTTAATTAATTACTTAAATGTTAAAATATAAGAAAAAATCTGGTGCAAGCAGCACACAACTTTCACTTACCTCTCTACTTTGATTAGAAATTATTTTCTGGAAATGTTGGACTATTATAAAATTTTTTAAGTGCATTTTTAATGGAGCTACAGCTTACAGCTTACAGCTAAACATCATTAACACCATTAAAATAACAAACCCCTATTAATTATATCAACGGTAGACAATAAAAACTTCATTACTCCATCTGTTTTATAAACCACACAACTAACTCCAGTCTCTGAGCTATGTATATATGTCTAGAGATATTTCAAAGTATATCTGTATATTCAACTTATAAATGATTATGGACTGTACGACTATTACTTATTTTCCATTATAAAGTTTACTAAAATGAAATTACGAGATTTTCATTGAATGCTATGGATAGGTCAAAAGTTGTAACACTAATTTTAAGTGAATAATGTGGTGATAATTCAAAGGGAAAACTCATCAAATCATTTACTAATTTAATATCCTAAAAGATTATATGGCAATTTTCGGAATAAATGGACGTTGATACCTAATTATTTAAATATAATACCTGATCTAGAATTACTAAACTACAGTAAATTTATTTAAGGTTATAAACATATCCAAGAAACATTTTTATATTTCATTTCTTCTATCACACAAGTACAATGAAATAGTGTTTTAAACAATGTCATTGTCTTGATTCGGTGAAATTTAAATACTTTTTTCAAACTTGAACAAATTTTTAGAAGTTTACATTTAGTAAGAACATATTTAATTTCCTTAGGAACATGAGATTTATATTAAATAATATTAGTTTTCAGAAATTATTATTTATATTTTATTTGTTACTCTCCCTTACCTTCAACATCTTTATTAATTAGATATTATTTTTTCTAAAATTCTCCACTTTCCAATGATATATTATATGTATACCTTCTGACTATTATTTCCGGAGATTCATTTCCGAGCTGGATAAGCATTTTTTTCCCCCCATTTATTTAATTATCAAATTCTTTCAAAAGCCTTGAATTATTCAACCTTTTTCATAATTCCTAACAACAAGAGACAGTTATTTTTTTTTAAATAAACCAAATTAAAGGTACTTTAGAGAAAGATGGATATGATCATTGAGTATTTAAGCCCTATAAAGTGACATCAAGATGAATAAAGCCTAGCTGATATTAAAAACAACTTAATAAAACACTGATATACTAAGTTTGATCGAAATCATTAAGAGCCGTTTTCGAGAAAATAGTAAAAATGTGTAACATTGATTGTATAAAGTGACACTTCCGGTTAGCCAATTTCGACAAAAAAGTTGCTGTAAACATCTGAGGTATACACAATCCTTAAATATGCAATTTCACTTTCATACGATTTTTGTTTTTTGAGCTAGACTGGTCACACACACATGCATGCACTCACGCTTGCACGCACACACACACACACACACACGCATGCACACACACACACACACGCATGCAAACACACACACATACACACACACAGAGGCCAATTTGGCGGGACTTAGTTATTTGGACTCAGGAGACCTCAAAACATGTATTTCTGTTAAAAATTCAGATTCAAAAATTTTTACAATCGCAGTACTGTCCCTTACTATATATTTCATATATATATATATAAGTGAGAGTAGAAAAGAGCAGTTTTAAAAATTTATTATGTTAATAATAATTTTTTACATAATTTAATTTGACATATCTTCAAATAAATTCTAATCACCACCTCACCCTATTCTCAAAACTTTACTGCAGGTTAACAAAAAAAACATAAATTCATTAAAAAAAACACTGCCTATTTTCATCACTAGTAATTTTTTAAGTTTTTGTATATTTCAACTTCATTTCTTCGTAACATATATTTGACATATTGATGGTTATTATTCGTTGGACATGAAGAAACTACTGCAGTTAGCTACCTAACTCATTTTCATAAAAATTGGGTGAGGTGATGTCAAAATTTATACAACAAAACCTTTCTATTAATTTAATCACTACTGTTAAGTACTATATCTTCCTCATGCCTATAATTTCTATTTCCACATTCACTACAGCACATCTTCTTATTGTCAAATAAAGGTGTGTATTAAAATTTGAAGAGAAAAAAAATTACTAGTGTTTTTCTTAAAAATATTTAAAATATATGGTGATATATAAATAATGTTTGATCACTTTGATAAAGCATTAATACAAGTATGAAATCGTATAAGTGAACCCCATCCCTCACCCAAAAAAGAAATTTTAAAAATTCTGAGCTGATGGAGAAGAAAACAGATATTTCAGTTGAACCGTCATAGAAAATTTCACCCAAGATTCTTTTGGTTATTAGTTTCTTTGATAATTCCCAGCAATTAATTACAATGCAGCGCTAGATTAACAAATCTGGAATAGATGAGGATATACTGTGTAAACCAACTCACTGGAATTTAATGAAAAATTCAAATGATAAATATTTTAGCAATTTTTTCTCTCAAAAATAAACCTGTCCTTTCAGCTTAAATTTTTTGAAAATCACATAATGTACATAGGTCAAAGTTTTACGAACTCAGATATGACTAACAAAACATATTTGAAATTAAATTTGAATATTAACATTATAATGTAAAAGTAAAAAGTTTTAAAAATTAAATAAACATTGAATTTTGAACAAGATAATACAAAGTTCCCGAACACTTAGTCATTGATAATTACTTGGGAAATAAACATCAAAAGGAATACAGCTACTTTTTTTCAGAATTAATTATAAAGAAGGAATAATTCATGAATACAATGAACTCTTTTGTTTTCCTAAGAACACAATAATCAACAGTAATTTCATTAGAATTAATTATGTTTTCGATCAGGCATGCAAAACAATAATAAAAAATAAAGGGTCCTTCATTGCATGTAACAATGAGTTAAGAGTGTTGAATATACCAACTGTTTGACTGCAAAACCTCATGCTTTTTGTAATTGCTTCTAACAATGTTTCAATAGACAAAATAAAATTCAACTTCTCGGAGATCTTCCAAACTTATATAGTATTATACAGGGTTGTAAACAAATGATAATTTTGATAACTTAAAAATTATATTGCATTAGATCAGGAATCTTTTGTTCTGTTAAAAAGATTCAATTTATGTACCTTACCTCCCATCTCTTGAACCTGACACATGGATGAAAACTGACATCATCAAAGAGGCGAGGGTTCATAAAAGATAATGTTAGATCAGGCATTCCAGACAGTTTAATGCAACAGTCAATCTAGAAAAATATAAGTTCAGCTCAGAATTAATCAACTTCATCTCCTAATCATTGGTATTTTTTCTAAATTAAAAATAAACTCACATAACCCTGAATCTCAGCAAAGACCGTAGACCCTGATCTGTCAATGATGGCATCTACCTCCTCGACAACATCGAAATAAGCTTCATTGTTAGTGTACTTAACCCCAGTTCTCCTCCAGGGCACGTTCGATAGTTGACCACTTGGCAATGTTGCACTCACGCTAGAGATAAAACCATTATATACAAATTCATTAATAAAATATAACATAAATTATTAAATATTTATGATAAAAAGATAGATCACGAAAACTTTTTTTAATATCTACAACAGAATTGTATAACTCATGAAGTTGAGACTCCAAATTGTACTGTTCTAAAACTAACCCACTATATATTGTTGGTTTATAGCAAAAATTCATGTAATACATTTATGTTGGAGGTGAACTTTTAAGAACGTTGTTGTGAATTATAATGTTATTTATCGTTAAAAAAATACAGTAACTGCACTAAAATGACAAACTCTTTAATATATCAAATCTATTCACAACTGCGCACAGTTTTCTGATTTCACAGAGGGAAAATTCATCAAAGCTTCTAGTGATTCTTCCTTCTACATTAAGCAGCATTAATGTTCTGAATCCAGATTATTATAATACAGAGGATTTGTTTCTCAAATCTTTCAATACTTCTTCTTGTAGCCGAATACCAGAACTGACTAGCATAGCATTATAAATCCTTAATTTAAGTTTCTAGAGATTTTTAATCAGGAATTTCACTGGTCCATTTGGGATTGTTGGCCATCCATCGAGGTTATTCGGAGCCAAGACATTTGAATTTGTTTACTCTTGGAAACGATCCTATTGCTGGGATGGAATTTTTGGCTTACTATTATAAATTTTGATTTATCTTCATTAACTTGTATGCTGATTTGCTCTGCTCCTCTTATCACAGTCTTAGAGAATCTCTCAACATTCTCTTGATTGCTTCCAAAGACAGTTATATCATCTGCATATTTATGAGTTTTATGATTCACTCCAACATGCACTTTCACGTGATGCTTTTATCATCATGCTCTACAAGGCTCAGCTGTCAAGTATCACTGAGCCCATTTCCCTGCTGCGGGCCAATTCAAACTTTGAAGACTTTAAGTACTTCTCCGTTCATCAATTTCAATAACTTTATATATATATATATATATATATATATATATATATATATAGAGAGAGAGAGAGAGAGAGAGAGAACCTGTACCACTACAATCCATGAAGGGTATTGTGTTCAGTACTTTGTTAGGAAGTACTGTTTCAAGGCCAATGGTTGTGGAGGGAGGTGATCGAAGGAGCCTGGGATCATGCTCAACAGGTTTTTCCCTTAATTAATTATTTTAATTAAAAGTACCCACTTTATAGAGGTTGAATTTCCCATGGAAGGTCTCCCAAATATTTTCAGTCTCACTTAAACTTTACTTAGTAGAAATTATTTTAATTTAATGTTAAATAGAAAACGAAGCATAAAGATGACTAACAAGGTTATAGGAATTTTTAATTTAAAACATAAGAATAAAGGCACTTGCATACAGACAATATGACCTGCGATGATGTACCTTGAAGTTTATTTGAAGCGGATAGGATCCTATTTAAGATTAAGTCATACAATATCGTTAATGCATCACAGAAACTGCTTTCAAGTCAATTCATGTTCCTAATGTTATTTATACTCAGATCTTAGTGTTTAGATCATCAATAGGAATAATATTTATAATATGTTAAAAAATAAAATAAAATTGAAAAATACTTACTTAGATTTACCAGTTACTGTATTGGCTATAGTCCTTAACAGATTAGGAGGCTTAATTAATTCCTTGAGGATATTTGATTCTGTTGCTAGGGGAAAACCATTGTCCAACATCTCATCTAATAACTAACAAGTAATACATTTCTTTATTAAAAACTTGACTAATAGGATAAACAATATTGACTATGTTAGCCTACTTTACCTCGTACACGACAACATAGTTCTCTTTGATTATACTCTCGGTACATTCCGTAAAATAATCATCAAATGTATCGACAACCCTGTGTAAGAACTCAATCACAAACAAAGGTGGAACTACAAATAAAAAATTAACATTAATGAGATTTCTTCTATTATAACTGCAGCTGTATTAAAATTCTTTGTTTATTTAATAACAATATTGTGAAGTTCCCTCAAGATATTAAGTGAACAACAAGAATATAACCTAACAGGTATTTGAAAAAAAAAAATGATAATGTAAAAATATCAAACAAAAAATAATCTGAACTATAATAAAAGACATAATAATAAACCAATGAAATCATTTTAGAAATTTAAGAATTATTAAAATAAATAAAATTAATAAAAAAAAATGAAAATTCTATTTAATATATGTACTAATAAAATTGAAAAAAAAAATTAAATCTATACATTAATAAAAATATGTACAGAGTTAAAAATTAAAATATTACTAGTATATAATTTTTTTTTTTCGGTTGGTGCTACAGACCATGCAGATCTTTGACTGTTAGATGTGGTCTCCTAGACTTCCTTCCTGATTTAAGTACACGGGGTAGAGTCATCAGTCCTATGCCTGGTCGGTGTGAGTTGCCTCCACTAGGCTGATGGGCCTCACATAATTGGGGGGGGAGAGAGATATCAGGCAGGGTGGCTTTCCCTGGTTGACGGCCACCCCACCCATATCGAGCAGTCACCCATCCAAGTGCTAACCACGCTCTGCGTTGCTTAACTTGGTTACCTATTGCAAGTGCCTTAGTCCGGAAAATGTCCTAATTAATACAGAAGAGAATGACCAATATTCTTCACTTAAATAAAGAATTCTTCTCTACTAAGCTTCCAATGCTAAAGGTTTGAATCCCGACTCATGGCAGAAAAATTATTTATTCTGTTTCATTGGCATGGGGCGACTCTGGATAAGTAGACTATCCTAGGTCACATCCAGCCTCTATAAAGTGGGTAACCTTAATTAAAATATTTAATTAAGGGGAAAACCTGGCGGTTGAGTGTGGTCTCGGTCAAATCACCTCCTTGCCAAACCGTAGACCAAGAAACAGTGCTTTCCCTAAATAATACTGAATCAAAGATCCTTCATGGGTTGTAGTGGTACAGCTTTTTTTTTTTAATTAAATAATTCTGGGCTCCGATAGAGATTCTAGAACAGAAGCCTTCCTCTAACTGAATGGTCTTTCCTTTTCAAATTTAGCAAAACTAAAAGGTTCAAAATGGAGGAAAAATAGATTTTCATTGGCATGTTCTCCTTAGTATTGCCAAAAAGGACCAGAAGTCTTACTTATTGGACTCGTCCCTCCATTTATACAGACTACAGTACCAATACAGACTTATTCACTGGTTTTTCAAATTTAAAAACAATCAAAACATAAAATTACCTTCTGTTGTACAAACTGCTACAAAGAACATGGATGACCGATGAATACTAATGAGGTAATGGTGAGGTGCTGTGATAATTGGAGGCATATCATCTGGGTTGCCTACCTTCCTTTGTTCATCAAAGAAATAATCACAAACTGATCTGGAAACAACACTTTTCCAATGTTTCTCCATAAAAACATCTCTGTAAAATAGAAAATAATAATTAGATTAAAGCTCTTATCAAAATACAAAGTTGCTATAAAAGCGCATAAGTATAGCTTTATTTCTTACATATTCTTAGCTTATTTCTTACATTACATATTATTAGCTTTGTCATTTATTACATATTTTAAACACTCTTCAGAAAGTTCATTGTTTTCAACTATTTTCACACATCTTTCTGCCAGTAATTGGATTTGATGCCTGTAGGACCAAGAGAGTGACTTTGGTTTTGAGGATAAGAACTGTTTACATTCAATTTTTAAGTCCTCGAAATTATCAAAGATGCGACTTTTTTAAATAGAGCCATTTATCTAAACAAACCATAATCTGATGGTGCAATATCTGGGCTATAAGCAGGATGAGGCAAAATGTATACAGTTTGCAGTTCTGATGATATTTCCTAGATCAAATGAGAACAATGTGCAGGGGCATTGCAATATAAATGCTTTGCTTCTTATTAACCAAACCTAAGTGGGGTACTTTGCCCTCAAAACCTTTGAAGTTCCACCTAACACAAAGCATCACTTTTTTCCCATACCAATCATGGCGAAGCTCAGGTTGTACTCACTGCTTATGGGTCTCTCCTATGATTGTTAAAAATATCCACTTTTCTTCATTTGTGAACTACCATCTGAAACAAAATTTTACAAATATCAACGTGCTGCTGCACTTGGGCCTCTGTCAAGTTATGTGGATCGGACCTTGGTTTTAAATCCTGTATGCCTACATTTTTTAGATGACAAGCTAATGTGGCATTAGATGAACATCCATCAGCTAAGAAATTATGAGTAACTGCAAGTGGGTTCAGGTTCACATATTCAAGAAGAACGTCGTCATAAATGCCCGATGAACAAAGTGATTTGGATTCATCTGCAAGGCTCATATTCCCATTTATACAATGCCTGAATCAAAGTGTTGCAGTATTTCGATGGATAACTGACTCTCCTTCTATGGAATAAATTTCTTTGGTGGCTGCGTTTGCGTTCAGCCCTTTTTTTCAATAATGTCTCAAAAGACTGCGAATCATTATTTTTCGTCTGAGATTGCATGTGCCTTTTACAAATGTAAATTTCCTCATAAAACCAGCTCAAATCACAAGGAATTAAAGGATTAGTCAAACTAAACATTGACGAAAATAGTAGAAATAAAAACATTCTTATAGGATTAATTACGAGAACTTAAGTTACAATTATCAGTTAGCAAAGTCACAGTGATACAGGTGTATGCTCCAGTTGAGGATGCAGCAGTCTTTAACAAGGAACAGTTCTATGAAGATTTGCAAAGGACAGTAGACAATGCAAGAACCAAAAACAGGATGATACTGATCTGCGGAGATTTAAATGCTAGAACAGGAAATGATAAAAGAAATGAGCGTGGAGTGATAGGACCCTGGGGAGGTGAAAATGTACAAAATAGTAATGGCCAACGACTCATAGAATTCTGTATAGAAAATAATTTACTTATAGGAAACTCGTGGTTTAATCATAAAACAATACATAAGATCACTTTCGAGAATAGAGGAGCACAGGGTATGAGAAGTGTCATTGACTATTTCATTAGTAATGAGACCTCAGAAGGCACATCACAGATATTAAAATCATATGGGGCACAGAACTTAATACAGATCACAAGCTAATGGTCACTGATACTAAAGCTATCAATTCAAGGATGAGGACTAGCAAAGTTTTAATAGAATCAATGTTAAAATGTTGGAAATAGAAACAAAACAAGAAGAATATAGAACAAAGCTGGAGAGCTGCCTTCAGTTAATAAATGGAGATAGTGAATTGGATACTTTTTGGAAAGAAATTAAGAATTGCATCATCAATACAGCAAGGGAAGTATGTGGTATTAAGAAAATGAGGCCATCTACCAAGAAAACATAATGGTGGAACAATGAGGTGAAAAGAGCAGTAAAGCTCAAGAAGGATGCGTGAAAAACATACTGTAGAATGTAACTACCTATCCACTGGGAAGAATATGTTAAGTGCAGAAATGAGGCCAAATGAATAATTAGATCAGCCAAGATGAGGACCTGGGAGCAGTTCGGTCAGGAGCTAGAACAGAATTATAAAGAGAATATAAGGAGATTCTGACATATTGGAAAAGCTCTGAAAGCCAAAACCTGGTAGGAAATATGAAAGATGCAAATGGTAAGTTGGTGACTGAAGAAAAAGCAGTATTAGAAGTTTGGAGACAGTTCTTCCAGGAAAAATTTAGTATTCAAGAACATCGACGCCATAATAACAGAGACTGCAGAAGGAAAGTGAGGGTGGAAGAGGTTTACCCAGAGGACTTGGGCGAGTATGAGGTGGAAACAGCAGTAGCCAGAATCAAAATGGGAAAAGCACCGGAACCCGATGAAATAGCTCCAGAATTAATTAAATATGGAGGCAACAAAATAATCAAGATTCTTCAAACTCTTTTCCAAAAGATTAGGAACCTCAAGCTGATACCACAAGAATGGGAGAACAATATCATAATCCCAATGCACAAGAAAGGCAGCCAAAGCGAATGCGGATAACATAGGCCAATATGCCTGTCGTCAGTTGAGTACAAGAAATAAAAAGAATTCTTGAACAGCGACTAAGGAATATAGTAGAGCAAGACGCTTTCAGACCCGGTAGACAGACCGAAGACCACATATTCTCACAACGGATGATTGTGGAAAAAACATGGGATCATGGCAAATCAGTTTATCTAGCCTTTCTGGATCTTAGGGCCGCATTCGACTCGATTCTGAGACAGGAGACTCACTAATTAGAAGAAGAGCACCTGCAAACTTGATGAGTGCTATTAAATCTATATACCAAGACCCAAAGGGTATAATAAGGCTCAACAGACACACATCAGAACCTTTCCACTTTTATAAAGAAGTAAAGCAGGGGGACGGTCTTAGTCCTCTGCTTTTTATCCTTCTAATGGATGAAATTTGGAAAGAGTGTAGAAGAATCCCAAGAGCTATTGTGGGATATTGGAATTTGACACCCTCGTTGGCTCAAGCTATGTTATATGCCAACGACATAATCCTTATAGCGGATTCACAAGAGGCTCGGCAGACATCATTAGTCGAGTGGGAAGAAGAATTGCAGCTATGAGGACTGCATATAAATCCGTCTAAGAGCAAGGTTATGTGCGTTGGAAAAGATAATGCGGAGCCTCTGATGTTAAGTAAAGGCGAACTCCTAGACATAACAAATGCATACACGTATCTGGGGACAATCATCAATGAAGATGGCAAAATAGACCAAGAGGTACTACATCGGGTGATGAAGGCCAATGGAATATATTACCGGATAGCCAAAACAATCATAGGCAAACAGGAAGTAAGTAGAAAGGCCAAACTCACAATATATAAGGCAGTGTTCCTTCCAATACTTGTTTATGGATCTGAAAGCTGGACAACCCTCGATAAGGCCGTAGGCAAGATCACAGCAGCGGAAATGAGATTCCTCTAAAGAATAGCTTGCTAAACTAGGAGGGACTGTTTCAGAAATGACAGAATCCATGAGGAATTGGAGGTGACATCAACCCTTGGCATCCTGGAAGAGAAGCAGTTGAAATGGTTCGGGCATATCTGCAGAATGGACAACACCCAAAAGGCTAGGTGGTTTATGGAAGCTATACCGGAAGTTAGAATTAAGAATAGAGTTCATACACAAGAACTTTTGTAACAACCTAGTAATAACAAAACAGGTCTATAAAAATAAACTTTTGGAAATTTGATTTGATTATATCAACTAATCTTTCTGAGTTGGTTAGAGGGTGCGTTCAAATAAACACTATATATTAAAATAGTATTTTATTGTTTATGCTAACGTTTCGATCCACTTAAGTCTTCATCAGTGCGTGGTATCAGGCACTGCAAGAAGCAGTAGGTAGACTGGTAGCCGGAAGTGTAATACACAAATCTAATCTTTATGTTTATTAGTGGGCTGAAAAGGAAAATGAAATTCCTTTTCTACCATAATATACAAACTATGAAAAATACTTAAAAAGGCATAGTAATAAAAATGATAAAAATGTCAAACAGTTTTTGTTTGTTACTGCAATACATTAGTATATAAAATTGTATGTAATACATTTTTATGAAAACAGGTTTTCTTAAAACTTTTTCATGTGACTCTTCAATTGATTGATTCTGTAGCATTCATCAGTAGACGTCCATCTATAGACATTCAACTTCCTTCAGGCCTTTGTTTCATGTCCTGGAGGGATCTTTCCTCTTCTGGAGTAAAGGAGGTAGTCTGGACTGGTAATACAATGATAATGAAACATTTTCTTAACTCAAACTTAAAAATGTTTTCTATTCACCTCGGCACAAGTAAGTAACCTAGGTAAATGTATTTACTTCAAATTATACAACTTGATTGAGATAACTAGCAGGAAAATGGGAATTAATTTAAAAGATATAAGAAGTTCAATTTGGTTTAGCTTCAGAATATGACAACTGATATCAGAAAATATGTTCCTGATTCTCTAGCTCTCTAGAGCTGCATGACTAAACCGACAACAGAGAAAGAGAAGTATTGTGAAATATTAATCAACAGAAAGTGATCTGTCACTCTCACTATACTCCTAGAAACTATACTACAAAAGGCAGACATTGGCTAAACAAGAAAGGAAGTAACAAGGATTTAGAATCATAGAAAACACTTTAGCTATTCCAAACTATTTACTAAGCCTCTTAAAAGAACAAAAACATTCATACATCCATATGTCAACATCAATATCTATCTGTTTAAATGAAACATAATACTTGAAAAATGTAGTTGTGAAAAACTAAAGTTGTTATTGAAAAATTATAGGTATAACATTGGATTTTCTTTGAAAACTATGTATAAATAAATCATCAGTATAGTGGTATTGCAATTTCCTTACCCTGAGGAATTAATTATAAACAGACTGTGTATCATTTTTAAATAGTTGACAATATATTTATGAAATAACTCTTTAATATTATTAAAAGTAATGCCAAACTAAACAACAACCTGACACCCTGTCAACAAAACTTAAAACCTTATTATCCATTTAGGTTAATGTAATTTTTACAAAGAGGTAAAAAAACGAGAAGCTTAATGGTCGCTAAATGTCAAAAGTATATGCCATGTAAAAATCATGAGTGGTAATTAACAAAATTATAGTAAAACGAACAACATAGTACCAAAATGTATATAAAATATAAACTAAACAATATAATTATCTTTGAACATAAACTAAACTTTCAATAGTAGGGACCTCGGGCGTGGTAAAATACTTGCGTATCTACTTCTAGGATTTAGCTTACTTTTTCTTTTTTGCAATGGATTTTAGATTACCTATTTTATTCATTCATATCGATTAGTTGGTATTGGTTTTGATTTCACTTTTGACGATTATCTCTCCCCTTTCTATTTTCATTGGGGAGGAGGATCGTTCATTTTTTATTGTAGCTTTCTTTCTTTCATCATCCTCATTCTTCTCAACTCTGTTCTCAGAATCCATAAAGCAATCACCAGAATCAATTGAGATGATTGTGCAAGATTCTCAGTGAATCTAAAACAATGGACTCTGCCATTCTTTATTATATTTATATTGATCTTCTGATCCTGCTTAAGGAGATTCGAGTTAACTATATTTTATAGATTAGGATTTACCATAACCCAGAATCATTATCAAAGCCTAACTGACCGGAAAAACGACACCCAAGGTATTCGATGGTGTCTACTTCTTCAATTGAACTTATTACCTTCTCGGTGTTCAACTAGAACTTCTTATCAACTTTCCCTTCTTTAAGATAATGCCGGAACTTTTGGGGGATTAACGGATAATCTCAACTCGCAGAGTATTTTCTGAATGCAGTTAATTGTCCTCTCTGCAGCTTCAACATTGCGACTGGACACCGTTTGCTCATTTGCAAAACTTGTATGTAGAACAGGGTCGTGGTTATGATGTAATTTGTATCCGTTTTCTACTGCAACTTTCGCAGTGCTCTGTATATAGTGAGTCACTAGCGGATCCAGCATTTATTTTTGGGGGGGAGCTTAAGCCCGAAAGTTGTTTTTTTCATCAAAATAACTATAATTACTTTGGAGAAAAAGAAAGGAACTAACTACCTATATGAAATGGTGTTTAAGTGATTCCTAAAGCCCTTTTAAATGTAATTACACGAACAATAATACTTTAAGAGATACTTTTTAAATATTTTTTTTCGATAAAACGTGGTTATATTTTACTATTTTGGGGGGGGGCTTCAGCCCGAAAGCTCCCCTCCCCCGTAGATCCGCCCCTGTAGTGAGTCAATACACAAATTGAATTGTACCAGCGAAAGTGATCCATCCTAAGGTACTCTTCTCAAAACAATGATATGATCAGTTTTGTTAACCCCTTATGGGCCAGTTTTGATTGATTGTTATGGTATTGTGATTCAAACCACGTAGCTTCGTCGGTGCCATAAGATCATGCTAACATAATGTATCATACTATATTATAGTAGGGGAGAGACACAAGGGCTGTGATAGTATGTATGTAGCTTTCATAAATGATATCTTTGATATTAATTAACATTTATTTATACAAATTATGATAATTTTAAAACTTTAAATTTGTATATATACCTAATAAAAGTACCCAGAATCATAAAAAATTTTCCTCGGCTTTTTTTTTTCATATATATAACGATAGAATATACTCTGGGAATAAAAGAAAGATACTGACTACCTAAATGAATTGGTGTTGAAGTGCTTCTTATAGTCCTACTAAATGTAATTACACTAACAATAATACTTTAAGAAATAATTGTTTACAATAAAACATGGTTACATTTTATCATTTTGGAGGAGGGGGGGGGGAGCTTCAGATCGAAATTCTCCCTCCGTATATTGGACATTGCTCACCTGTGCGCTACATTACATTTGTTCTCAACTTTTCAAATTTTAAGAATAAAAAAAATACATTGTACCCTTATAATGAAATAAATAATTAAAATACATATTCTGTTCTAAAAAGGATTGGACAGTTACAAAAAACACATTCAACAGCAATGAAAAGCTTATGATTATTTATAGTTTTAAATTACTGTTTTGTACCTTTTATAATGTTTTACTTTCACTCTTATTTATATGAAGATCAGTATTTATAACCAAAATAGGCAGATCAATGAGTTTCTTGATGCTCTCTCTGCACTAGATTTTTATAATTTACTCTTACCTTGTACCAGAGAAATGAATTTGGTGACAATTATAGAAAAATAAGAATTAAATATTTAGGTGTAAATTTGGTTAATTTAGGGGAAATTAAGAAAAATTTAAGGAGAAAATGTCTAACCTGGAAATCCTGATGACAACACTGGCCAATACTAATGGCATTGGTTCAAAGAAGTTGAAGAAGTTGAAGAAGCTGAAGAAGCTGAAGAAGTTTATTAGAGATTGTGGTATTTTCGGTGTTTAAATAAGTCCGTATTTTTGTGTTGTATTCAAAACTAAATTTGTTTTATAAAGAAAATGGATCGTCCATTTGTTTTAGTTCCTTCTAGACACAAACTTCTCCCAAGGATTGCAACAAATGGCAATATTGATGATTCTAGTAAGAAAGGTAAATTTGGCTGGGTCAAAATTGATGGAATAAATTTGCCTTACATTCTTCGAAATGAAGTAAAGTACTTGTCAGTGAGAATGGTTGAAAAACAACTCATTAATAAGTACATCAGAATGCTTAGTACTCATGTTTACTCTTCCAATAGAATCAAAGCTTATTTTATTACAGAATGGGAATACATATTATTTAATGAAATAAATTATAAACACTCAGGAGGAGCTTTTGGGAGGAAAAGATTTACTCAAACAGATTTAATTACTGAATTAGAAGATACTAAAAATTTTTATGAATTTATTCAATTTTGTTATTTGAAAGTTACTACTGTCCATATCACTTTAAAAAGTAATTGTGGCTTCATTCAAATGGGTCCAAAAATTGTTCCTTATATTAATATTGGTGGCCATAAATTTGTGCCTACATTATTTTTTGATGGCATCTCAGCGAGTTTGAAAAGTAAATGTGTTTATATTGATTCCTGGGATTGGGCTTATTTAAGATTTCATTGCAAAATTATTGGTGTTAAACATGATGACATTCCTAAAAAATCGTGCTCCGTCATCAATCTGATTGACATTCAACCAATTTTACAGGACAAAGAAGAAGTGCAAGTCGTTAATACTTCTGTCGTCAAAGATAATAATTTCCTGATTATAAGTCACAATGAAGAGACCATTCCTTGGTATGTAATTTAAACCAATAAAGTTATGTGTGGAACGCTTACTTTCAGCTACATACTGTGAAAAACTTTCGAGGGTAGTATTTTATGTGAAAAAATACTAGAAGTGATCATAAATTTATTTAGGCTGTCTATACAAATATTGTTAAGAATCTATCAAATTGCTAAGGAAATGATTTAATCATTCATTTTTAAGTATATTGCCAATAAAACTAAATCAAGATTATTTATATTTGTTTTGGAGTTATAAAAGGACATTTTGTATGTACCTAAATATATATATTGTGTATTTATTATTATTATGCTTATGATATGTTATTATATATATATATAAAGTCTTCTCTTATCTTTTGTTAGGCTCACAAGTATCTTAATGTTAATAAAAATATATTGGTTTATCTTTCTTTATATTTACAAAAACTTAGAGGTATTGCATAAAAATGTCCATAGATTTCATGTTTCATATGTTCAATCTTGGGAAAGGAATTAAACATCATATAATTTTTCATATAAATAAATATTTGTTCCTTTTATAATAATAAAAATAATAGTATTTTCATTCATTCAAAATCAGAAAACAATTAAAATAACATGAGACCTATGAATCTTCACCCACTATAGTCAGTTGAAGGAAGATAGTTTTAGTTAAATTTCTTTGTTTTTAATTGTTTGACTGTTTTCTTTTTAAGTCAGTTTTATTAGATTTTTTGGTATATCTATAAAAAAAAAAAAAAAACAACTTTGTGAGTGGTTATCGATTTATTTAGGCTTTAGATGCAAACTTAAATATTTATAAGTATTTATCAAGTTGCAAAGATGTTTTAATTGTTCATTTTTTCCATTAAAATAAAGTCAACAATAATTAATGTTTTTGAGCTATAAAATAACATATTGTAACATATTAAATTTGTATATATAAATATACATGTAGTGTATGTATAGTTATTACAGAGTTTATGATGTGTTATTTATTATATGTCTTTTGTTAGGTCCAAGGACCTTAATAGTAATGAAAGTATAATCCATATGTTGTTTATAGATTTAGATATTGGTTTAAATTTCTTTATACCTTCAATAACTAAGAGATATCACATTTAGATATGCATAGATTTCAGGTTTCATACTTTCAAGCTTGAAAAAATAACTAAAGTAGATGATATTAGAAACTCTTTAATATCAATAGTATTTTAATTTATTCAGCATCAGAAAAAAATGGAATACAAAGCTATGAACATTCACTCACTATTGTCAACTGAAGTTAAATTATATTTAAATGTTTTTGTTTTTATATATTTGACTGTGTTCTTTTTAGACAGTATTATTGGATTTTTTTTTATATATTCATGATAATGAAAATACATGTTTGATTTTTCTTTAAAATCGCCTTTAGTCTTGAGCTTTTAGAATTAGTTATAGTTTAATAACTATAAAACTAGTCTCATTTTAACTGATATCGATTAAGAATGAAATTATTTTATCCAGTTATTGGAATTGAGTATCTTATTCTTGCTAATTATAAATAAATTTATAATATCGCAACATCTTTTTTTTTTCTTTCAGCTCTAGGATCAACAGAGTTGCTTCAACATAAACCTCCAATTATCTCAATTGAAATGATGCGTTCATCCCAGTGAAGCCTTGGTCTGCCATTGGAACAAATTCCAAACATTTGTTTCTATCCTCATAACCTACCTGGCCAGTGTAACCTTCCTAGTTTGATTGCATATATGTAGCTTTCAGATCTGTTTGTCCTTCATATAGTTTTTTGAAA